TCAACCCTAATCAAAAATCCAGTAGACAATATCAGTCTTTTGACTCTAGAATCATACATTTTGGATGTGACTGGAAACAGCCCTACCATTCTATTATAAAATGTCTCCTTCAAATCAAGCTAATTTGAAGTGACTTCACAGTCACTAAAGAAGAAGTTTGTCACTGGCTTCTTACGAATGTCTATGCTTCCCAGTGCATCTAACATCCTACCTTAATTTTAACCCTAATCCTAACCCTAACCCTAACCCTGTTGATGGGCTTCCATCCAAAGCCTAACCGTGCTTAGTTTCTCAGACCAGATAAATCAGTTGATAAGCCACCTGAGATGATAAACAACCTCAAGTGGCTCAGCAATTGTATGCAATCATGATCTCCCCATTCCACTTCTGCTCTACTCTTTAACACTTCTAATATGTGCCATTCAGCTTTTGCAAAGCTCATTACTACTGAAGAGATCTGGAACTCTTTACAGCGATACTGCTGAGCCTCCACAAAGGCCTTCATTACCCCTGCTATTCCATCTCTTCATGCATGCAGAATGAATCATCACATCAACTTCTGTGTTTTATTACTGGCCTCTGGCTCCCCCAGCCTGCCCTATTGCAAGTTTCGTAAGTACTTGGCTAAACACCTTTAACTTGACCTGAAGACTGCCAGCTATTCCCACTGTAGTGATGAGCATGGCAAGAAGGAAGATTTAATAATAAATGTGGTGCTTGCAGTTTCAAAATGGGCCTCACAGTGCCATATCAGAAAACTATAGTCAGCCTGCTAGTCATAAGTTACCTTCTGGTGACTTCTTCCAAGGCATTTCTATGTGTTTGAGTTACTGGTTCAAAAAATATTTTCTGGGAAATATCTCCATTCAGCCTGAGCTCTAAGTTGCAACCCATCTCAAGGAGATGAGAACCCAGTGGGAGCTGAAGGGTCAATGTAGGAGAGGACACCTAGCAATCAGGCTTCCTCAGCCGAATTCTCCTCAAAGGTGGGCCGAGCTGATAAAGGATTAGAAACACAGCTTTTATCCCAGCAGCAAAACTTCCAAAGGAGGGGAAGATATTTTACAGGATAGGTCTCTCAGATTTGTTACATCCCACCTATTTTTTGGGGGGGGGAAGGGAGGGATTATCTGAACTCTATTTTTTTTTTAAAAAAGTTTAAATATCATGGTTTATTTATTATTATAAAAAGATAAAAAAACCCAGCAAGTTTCAAAATGAAAGGGGATGCTGCCATTTTTCATCATAAACATAAGTATTTAGCAGTTATTTAAAATTACTAGACCTTAGAATTTAACCTTTCTCCTTCATTTATCCCCTATCCCATCCCCGGAAGTTTAAAATGCATCTAAATGTTTTTGGCAAAAATAAGTTAAGAAATCAAGGGAAACTCTGAAATAAACAGCTGAAATAAACTACAGTTAAAACTATGGCAAAAATAAACCACAGCTAGGTAATATATCTTTTTTGTCAAATTTTTTTTATTTATATATAAGTATTTTGAATACAGTGTAATGTCCAGGTATACCATTTTACAAAAACGAAAGAGAAAAAAGAACAAAAAAGATAACACATATACTGATAACAATAATAATAATATAAAAATAATTTCTAGTTATATTTATAATTATATTCACTTATTTTTGTTCCTATTAAATATATTAATATTGGCTTACATATAATTATAAACATTCATATTTTACTTAACCCTAAAAATACTCTTTCTTCATCTAATTTCTACCTCTTACCTCTAATCATTGAGTAAGTTAAGAAATCTGGTTTGTTAAAAAAAAAAAAACCACAGCTGAAATAAACTACAGTTAAAACTATGGCAAAAATAAACCACAGCTAGGTAATATATCTGAGTAGGCAGCACAGCAAAACTACTTTAATTGCTTCACAGATGTAATTGTGCAGAGTTTGAATCTATACTAATTATTTAGTCAGAGTTAAGCTCTGATTCTGAAAAATATAGTATGCAAGGACAAAGAAATAAGGGGAAAAGTAGATTATCTGCTAATGTTTGTTGTGGTTTTTTGAGGTTAATATTGCTCCTGGGGATTATAAATATGAGCAGGGCAGCAAAAAGAAGAGATAGGCATATTTTCCATTTTCCCATGGAGACACTTGACCATTAAATACCCTTCCCAAGAGACGCTTTTCTCAAGAAAAATAACATTATCCAAATAATATAGAAAACTAGCTGGGGAAGGATTTTAATGGGGGAAATGGCTGCAGAGAAACAATCAATTTAACAGCTATTCACCCTTTTAGTCAAACTTGGAGCTTAAAAATCTTTTTTTCAGTGCCTCAAGCATCACCATGCTGTGTCACATATTACATATTTAAACTTTTTAATAATATATTCTAGGAACTAACAAGGCAGCGTATATGTATGTTCCAACATATAACCATGCTAAACCTACTAAAATTCCTATGACAGTTTAGAGTTAAAGGATTCTTGATTGTCCAAGGGGATAGTCACCTTTTCCCCTGTATCAGGAGATTTTATCAAGAGCCGAGCTCAGTTGGGCACTGTCACCACAAAGTCAAAGGCAATGATCAACTGGTGTTGCTGAAGTTGAAAGAGCCATTGAAGCTCCTCTCCTCTCCTCAGCCTGCCGTGTTTCTGCTTTCCTTGCATGTGCAAACAGGAAGCAGTTCTCACCTCCTCTGGGTTCTGGCGCATTGAGCTCCCTTGGGGATGCTCAGGCAACCAACTGGAAAATGTGACAAACAGTTCAGCTATCATCTCTCCCCAAGGGCCCAGCACCATGAAGATGAGGAAAGAAAAAGGGAGAAGCTTACAAGTTGTGCAGATGTAGCAACTAAGCACGAAACTAGTCAAGTAGCCTCCAAAGCAAAATTTATACATAACCAGTAGTTTCTCCATGTTTTAATGAATGATCAAAGTTTGTTGATGTCACTACATATGCTGTATGCAACCAAATTTCATTTTAATGTATGCTTATTAATGTACATTCAAAGTGACAATAAAGTTATTCTAAGTTTAAATCCCATCTACTGATGTTTTTTTTAAATTTATTTATTTATTAATTCTTTATTTGTCAAGAACGTATTAAGTAATAAGTATAAACATGGATTGGATACATAAAATAGATACAAATAGAGGAAACATTAGGACAGGGATGGTAGGCACGCTGGTGCTCTTATGCGCATCCCTTACAGACCTCTTAGGAATGGGATGAGGTCAGCAGTAGATAGCCTTAGGTTAAAATTTTGGGGGTTTTGGAATGAAACCACAGAGTCAGGTAGTGCATTCCAGGCATTGACCACTCTGTTGCTGAAGTCATATTTTCTGCAATTGAGTTTGGAGTGGTTCACTTTAAGTTTGTATCTGTTGTGTGCTCGTGTATTGTTGTGATTGAAGCTGAAGTAATCATTGACAGGTAGGACATTGTAGCAGATAATTTTATGAGCTATGCTTAGATCATATCGAAGGCAGCATAGTTCTAAGTTTTCTAAGCCCAGAATTTCAATAATCAATGAAGTATACCGGCTCTCTCAATTGTCCAACATGTATCAGCTATTTTCTCATGTTCCTTAGCCTTTTCTAAAGCCAACTTGAACATCTGGCATCTTTTTTTCCATGTAAAACATAAAGCTATAGCCGTTATGATTATGAAACTTTATATTTAAAGATTAGCAACAATTGCAAAGCATTATAGCGTTCAGATAGCAAATACGTGATAATCTCTTCATTCCTTTGATAGTAACATTCAAAAACTTAAAAGAATTGAAAAAACACCTGGAGATTATGAATTTTACGATCACTCTGAATAAAATGTATATTTCTACTTTGAGAACGGGGACAGACGTGCCAAATTAGGCAAAAATATTCATATAGGGTCTACTGAGATGTTGGAGAAAAAAGTATTTTATACATGCCTGGAGGCCTTCTTGAGAACATGGCCACCCTTGAAGACCACTTAGAAACTTCATCTGGTCCAGAATGAAGCAGGGTGAAGAGTGGTGGGTTTGTCTTGGCATGTTCCTGAGACACCTCGCTTTGTGAGCTGCACTGTTTCTGGTGGGCTTTCAGATGAGATTCAAGATGATGATTATCATCTAGAAAGCCTTACATGGCATCAGGGACAGTTATTTGAGGGGTCATTTATCTCTTGTGGTTTCTGCTCAGTCATTAAGAGCCAAATGGACCTGGTGTGTTCCAGGTCCATTTGATTAAACAATGTCATCTTTCAAGACCCAGGAGGCTCTCTGCTGTAGCACCTACCTTCTGAAATGAGACCCCTCTGAGATCCAGATACCTCCCACCCCAATGGCATTCCAGAAGGCCTTAAAGACTTGGTTATCCTCCCAGAGTAGGGTGGGTTTTACCCCTTGTTAGAAATCTTCCATATTGACTTCCGGTTTGCTGTTTGTCCCCGCCGGACGCTCCCTCGGGATCGTCGAACCCACTGCCTGTAAGAGCCGCCTTTTTCAGCGGAATGGCGGCTCGAAAAAACTCCGTTTCCATTAGGAAACGGAGATAGAGCCGGCTGGGGTGGGTAGAGTCCTCTGCCTAATCCCAAAAGTTTTTTATTTACTTTTGGGAGGGAGCGGAAGAGACTCCCCGTATCCCCAGCCGATGCTCTGGGCTCTGGGAGATCTCTGCTACACGCAGAGCTAGGGGGCAAAAGCAAGCCTGCAAATCTGTTAAATTAATCAAAGAAGATGTGAGCTGGACCTCTGATCCTGAAGCGCAAGTATTCTTCTTATTTTAGAAAAGTTATTGAAGTTGTTTAAGAAGTGAAAGGAAAAAAGATTTTTAAAATGGCGATTGCTGCTGTGACTGCTGCGGCTTGAAGAGAGGCTGAAGGGGAAAGTCCTTCCGTTTTCTATTACAAAGTAGCGGAGCGAATACTTCTGGCTGTAATTGAAGGCAAAACCTCACTCTCACTCTTGTTTTTCTTTTCTTTTCCTGGGGATCTGATATTGATCTTGGTTGGAAAAAAGCTTCTTTTTTTTTTCTTTTCCAGTAAATCTTGTCTGCGTGGGAAAATGGCGCTGAGACTTATAAAGTTAGACAAACAGGCAGTGGGGGGGGATTCCCCCATTAACAAATTACATCAACAAGTTCTAACTCTCCAGTCTCAGAAACCTGATTTTAATATAATAGAATTTCTTCTTGAGGAGATTGTAAGAAGGGATGAGATTGTGAATCAGCAACTTGAAAAATTTAAGCTGGAAATTAAAGAAATTGGTGAATTGGTGAAATCTAAGTTTGACTTTTTGGATCAAAAGATTTTAAAAACAGCTAATGGTTTAGCAGACTTTGTGATTCAGTTGGATGCAAATACCAAATTATTAGAGTCCAAAATGAAAGAAACTGAGGAGAATTTGGACGACAAGATCCAAAAAATTAAAAAGGATTTGGCAAACATTCAGGATAATAGTTCAGAAGACAAACCTAAAATGGAGGTTGACCAAAAGATTGGTAATGAAGAAAATGTACAACAGAGGATTGAAAGAGAAGTTTTAATGATTCAATATAATTTTACAGAATATGCAATTAGACTGAGAGGTCTGCAGGAAAATGACAGAGATGATTTAAGGAAGATATCTTCTGAAATTCTGGCTGGGATTTTAAAGGTTCAACCTGATGAAGTGTTTTGCAGGATTGACAGAATTTATAGAATAAACTCCTGGTTGGCAAAACAAAAGCAATTGCCTAGAGATGTGGTGATTTATTTTACTGATAAAGGAATAAGAAATGATATTGTGCAGAATTCTTTTAGTTCTACTTTGCAATTTCGTGGAAGAAAGATTTGGATTTTTAAGGAGCTCCCGCCCAAGATGTTAATGGAGAGGAAGAAATTTGGTTTTCTAGTGTCTGAGTTAAAAAAAAGAAATATCCTATTTAGGTGGGATGTTCCAGCTGGTTTAATATTCAGACACCAAGGAGTAAGATACCAACTGAACACTGTTGAAAAAGCGGAAGAATTTTATCAAAAAAACTTTAAAAAGAATTTAACATCTTTAGGCATAATACAGGACAAACAAAAGGAGTTGGAAACAAAGGGAAAATATCAAATTATAGAGGCTGTGGTAGATAAATTGTCTTCGGACTCCCTGGATACCCCAGCTGGACTGTCTATAAATATGAGAGCAGTGTCATCTGATTTCAATGTGACGAATTATCAAGCTACAGACAAGTGCGTAAATCAACCAGTTGATATACAAGTGATGGAAAAGAAATACGAGATAATAAAACAAAACCAACAAGATCAACTAGCTGATACACAATTTGTAGGAAGGAAACCAGGATGGAAATTCAACCCGCAAAAGAAAAAGAAAAGAAACAGATCTCATAGAAATAGTAGTTTCTAAACTAAGCAACAGCGAAGTATTGTTTAATACTATCTTGAGGATAGTGGCAGACCTCTGCAATGCCGTGATTTTGGGATGTGAAAAGAGCCTTACATTGTTGGATTTGAATTATCTATTTTGGATTTCTTTTACCGATAAATATATTATAACTATTTCGAGTTACAAGGCAAGAGAGTCATGCTGGGGCATGCAGAAGATCTGGCTGTTACCCACTAGGATGATGGGAATTAATAATCCTGATGAAAACCACAATTACAACTATATGGAATATAATTATAATGTCACTCGGGTGGTTGTTTTTACTTTTATATATATATGAGGATATTCATTACTGATGGGGGCAGATGAAGACTGAAGATTTTGAACAAACTGTTGCACCAGGATGCTATGTCACCCAATTATGGATGATGGACTCAACAATCCAGTGGAAAGACGTCAAAGAAGATATTATATGGATTATAAATTTAAAGTTATTGTCTTTTTTTTTCTTTTTATAAAATGGAATGTATATATAAATATATGTATATTTTAGCAGAGTGGGCAGTGGTTCATACTTAGAATTGTAGTGCATGGTAATTTTGCGGGAAACTGGGTTGAAATAGGTTAGTTTACTAATTGATTAGTTTAAGAAAAAGGATTTTTAAGTCATATATTTAGGGGAGTGGAGGAATTGGATAGAATTGAATAAATGTTAAATTTGGATGTGGGGAGAAGGCTGCTTTGAAATGTTATATTAATATATATAAAAGATTAAATGTTATGTTGTTATAATAATATACTATAAGTTTGGGGGAGGAGAAAAAGGGCAGATTATTGCGAAAATGGGGGTTATAAGAATATTATGCTAAGGGTCAGTATTTTGAGGAGGGAGTAAGGGAATGGTAAAATATTATGCAATTAGTTATGAATTAGCTTAATGTTGTGAAGAAGTCACAGGGGGGGATGGGTGGTGAGGGGGGGTTAGGGAAGAGTGGGGGGAAAGGGGGAAAAACTTGTATTTGAAAACTTTTTCAATAAAAAAAAAACAAAAAAAACAAAAAAAAAGAAATCTTCCATATTGAGTAATTGAATGACTGAATAGATTTATATGTCAAATGACTCTGGATAGAGAACAGGGTTTTTAAAAAAGAGATACAAAAATTTAAATAAACAGCATTTGAGTAAACCAGAACAATCAGTACCATAGCCAGGAGGTGAATCCCTCCACACACCTGCTGGGACCCCAGTCAGAGCACAGAACAAGACTTGCTAGTGCCTTATGAAAGATGAAGAGTGTTGAAGCTAACTTGCTTTCTAGAGAATGTTCCTCAGGGAGGAGATGAAGATACTATCGAAGATTCATCCTTTAAATTTGAAGATGATGATAAGTCTGAATATTTTGGCTAGGAAATTCTTAAATATGAAACTGGATGTCCTTCCATTGGGGCTTTTTAACAAATTGTTCTGCTGCACATTGAAAAGTTCAGAAGATCAATAATCTACAATAAATTCTATTTAGAAACTCCTTTCTTCTGATCCCTGAATCATTAATTTTCTTGATCAGATGAAACGTTTCAATGTAAAAATGCCACATTGGGTAAGGCTCAGATTTTGAAGCAAGGTGGGTGCCTGGAGTTAAGGAATGATGCCTTCTGAGGTGTTTCTTACTTGTGATATGTCTACTGCTGATGAGATATTGAAGCTAGCTTGAGGGCATACGGGATTTTCATATCAATTACCATAGAGCCAAGATTATGCAGCACATACAGTTTAAGTACTATCTACTTGTTCAGGCTCTGAAGAGATTTACAACTATTGTGGCTTAAAAGGCCACAAATACTTTTGCTTTTGCTTTTTTCTCTTCTCTCTCTCTCTTTTGTGGTACGTGTTACCTAGTGAAACCTTGGCTGATCTCAAAAAAGCTAATCAGGTTATAAAGGTAATAAGAGGATCTTTAGGAGAAAAGATTACAAGGTCAATAGTCTTTAGCAGTAATTCCAAAATGACCCTGGAAGACAATAAAAAATTACTTTCTTACTGTTGCCAAGAAAACTATATGGACCATAATTCCCAGGAATAAAGTTTTATTTAAGGAGAATTTGCCTTACCTTTTTTCTTCAATACCATTCACTTTAATTTTTGTTTTTCTTGCTTGCAATTACTAAGCTCCCAATATGCTTTTTATTACTCTGCTATTTTGCAAACAGCATAAGACATGGCAGAACATTTCCCCTTATAATTTCTTCTATTGATTCCTTTGAATATCAACTGGTGCCAATTTTTTGAGATCTATAACAATACATTTACCCACATACTTACATGCATGTAAATTAGGTTTGAGAGCATGTATTTTTATAACAGAGATGCTATTCACGATTAATGTCAGAATTAATTTTAATTTATTATATGTCTATTGCTGGTCGATGACCATAATAAAATTTTATTCTATTCTATTCTTCTATTGATTTCTTTGATTATTTTGCAAAGCAGCAGAGATCTCATAGATTTCAAAGAAGTGGCTAAGAGTAACCTAAGCAACCTCATCTTTTTTTCCTCCACATTGCTGGCCCCTTGATATATTTCTTTTAATCCATGTCTTTTTTCCATGAATTCCTAACCTCTGCTGTTCCTTGACATCATGTCCCATGCTTATATATATAGTTATGTCAAGCCTATCAAAGAGAAGGATGAGGGGGACATGACAACCGTCTTCCAGTGCTTGAAGTGCTGTCCCAAATTATTCTCCAAAGCACCAGAGGGCAGGACAAGAAGTAACAGATGGAAGCTTACCAAAGAGGTATCCAACCTAGAATTTAGGAGAAATTTTTTGACAGTGAGAACAATCAGTTAGTGGAATGGCTGGTGGAATGGCTAGCCTTCAAAAGTTGTGGTGCTTTATCAATGGAGGTTTTTAAGAAGAGACTGAATGGCCATTTCTCTAAAATGATATGGGGTCTCCTGCTTGAGTAGGGTGTTGGACTAGAACCGTGATGGCGAATCTATGGCACACGTGCCACAGGTGGTACGCGGAGCCATATTGGTGAGCACGCGAGTGTTGCCCTAGCTCAGCTCCAGCACGCATGTGCACGCTGGCCAGCTGATTTTTGGGCTTTCTGGGCCTACCGTAAGTCAGCAAATGGGCTGTTTCCGGCCTCTGGAGGGCCTCGGGGGGGAGGCTGTTGTCGCCCTCCCCAGGCTCCTAGAAAGCCTCTGGAACCTGGGGAGGGTGAAAAACGGGCCTACTGGGCCCACCATGCTATCACATGTCAAAAGCGGGGGGACCATGGTGGGGTGCATAGAATTATGGATGTGGGCACGCACATGCATGATCACCCCGCACTCCCCCCGCTTTTGGCACGTGATTGCAAAAAGGTTAGCCATCACTGGACTAGAAGATCTCTGAGATTCCTTTCAGCTTTATGATTCCATGTTCTGTGTGATGGTTTTAGTTACTAGTCAAATGGAGAGAGGAATCCTCATAGAGCTGTCATTGAACTCTACACTGCACTATGGACACAGCTGGGTTGCTGAAGAAATAATAAGGTTGAATTATATTAACACAATGCTTAACAAGGAAATAACTATTTTTGAGGGCTGAAGTTGATGGGGTTAGAAATAGCTTTTCAGGCCCTTCTGAAAACACTGAGCAAATGGCTCTCAATTTTAAGTTCAGGCAGTGAATGGATTTAAACCCTGGAGCAGACATATATAATTTCCATGTTCTGTAGGAGGTGGATCTTCTGCAAATGTATGAGGCCTGTGTTGTCTGCAATAATGTAGCTTATCTAGTCATTTGTCTCTGAGCTTAAACTGTAAGCACGTCCCTGAGTGTGGGATTAAGTGTTTGGTTATTACCAAGCCTGGGATGAAGTACGACAATTTTGTTTGCTTGTATTTTAGTCATAACGATAACATGTTTGCTATTATGCTACCATAATATAAATTGCTTATCTTTGTGCTTTACAGTTCCTGTACAGGTAGTCTTCATTTAACAACCATTCATTAAGTGACCATTGGGATGGTGCTGAATAAATGTATTTATGATGGGATTCAAAATTACAGCCACTGCAGCACCCGCATGGTTATGTGTTCAAAATTCAGGGATTTGTCAGGCCATTCACACAGCACAGCATGCATTTCAACCCCCCATACTCCATCCTCCTATCTCACCCACCTTTCTGCCCTGTTGGCCGCCCTGCACTACATGCATCCCATGTAGCTTCCCCCAAATGTCCTTCTTTCTCCTGATACTGACAAGGCAGGTCCAGCTGAGGCAGTTACTGGGCCTTCACAAGACCAGGTATCCCTTGTCAGCAGCAGGAGGAAGAAGATGGTAAAGAGCAGGTGGGGCAGCAGGGAGAGGCAGGGAAAGATGGAGTGCAGTGTAGCCAAAAGGGCAGCTTTGCGGGCTGTATAGGAGGATAGGGGGAGTTGAAACAGAGGTGAGTCCAGCAGGGCAAAAGAATTGTGAGATCCTTGCCTAATGACAATGCAGTCCTTGTCTTAGAGCCATAACCATCATTGCTGAAGCTAAGCAATATAGTCATATGACAGTATGATTAATGACTGCTTTGCTTAGCAATATAAATTCCAGTCCCAATTAGGATCATTAAGCAAGGACTACCAGTAATAGAAAAATATACACCAAATGGTATTCAAATTTTCAACTACAAATGAAATTGATTTCTGTTTGTGCTTTAAATCCACTGGAATAAAATTTATCCCCCAGTGTTGCTTGGATGCCAGTTGGAGTGGTGTTTGGGAGACATACATCTCTCTCAGCCATCTGGATATGGACTGTCATTAATGGGACCACAATCCTGCTAGCATAAGACACAGAATAGCTTCAGTTATCTGATTTTGCTCCTTGCTCAACTGGCAGTTTTAAAGGACAATAGTCCTTTAAGGGCTATTGGGAATAGCCCAATAGCCCTTGGGTCATGAAACTATTCCCAATCAGAAGCCATTCAGATTTCTTGGGACTACAACTCCTAGGAATTCCAAACACTGTGACTAACAACCATGCTGACTTCTAGTTACACCATATCTGGAGATCACCTGTTTGTAGATGGATGACACAGGCTGATTGACATCTTTTACCAGCTCGCAAAAAAGAAGTATTTGCAATTAAACTACAGGATTAATGTTTTTTTTTTATTTCATATCATTTTACCTTACAAACAATTTATCACCCTCTTATACATCAGCCTTGTTATTTTTTGCATCATTAACATTTATTATTTTAATTTTATCCCATTTGTCTCCATTGTACATTTTATATTGGCAGCAGCTTGTATTTATGAACATTCTCACCATAGCGCTAAAGTCTTTCCACTTTTCTTACACAGTAACCATTTTTCTTACCTGCCCCTTTTATTCTAATATATATCCGCTGTCATATTAATTGTAATCAAGACTCAAGATCAGGAAGTTGGGCCTCCAGTCTATTCCATTTATACAGATGATTTACAACCCAGTGAGCAATTTGATAATCTGGTCATTGATTTTGGCAAGTTAATAGGAAGCTGAAAACCTGGCTGTAAGGAAGAAAAATTGGGCTTCTGTTCAATAGACTGCTGGTGATCGCTATTTATAACTTGCTAAATGATTTGCTTAGACACGGAAGCCCAGTAATATATACTTTAGGATATTTTTATGATTTTAACATTTACACATTGCCAAGATCCCAGAAGGAGCCTAAGACTAGCAAAGGTTTCCACTGTCCACTCTACAGAATTATCATTTCCTTCCCTTGGGGAAGGACACTCAAAGCAATGCACACAGGAAATCACAATTTCCAAAGAACTGTGACAAACAGCCAGAAAAATTATAGCTGTTCCCTTTTAAAACCACAACAGAAATGGGCAACTAAAATCATTAGGGAAA